AGCAATTTCAAAGCAAAGGTGGCAAGAGCTAAACCAAGACGTCAAAAGGATTCTGAGTTTCACATCAATCCATCCAAGAAGCCAAGCTTCACATCTTCATCAAGCCACGAGTACGCTCAAGATGAAAAGAAAGAGGATGTTTCAAAAGAAGAAGAGATTGCGATGATCGAGTTTTCGATGTCTAGTTTACTAGACAATCTTGTGAAAACATCTGATGACGAAAGACAAGAATTGCAAGTCCAATCAAAAGAGCAGCAGTCGCTACCAATTGTTACAATGACTCACATTTCAGCTCTTTCGGATTCAACCTCTTCAGTCAATGAATCAGAAACAGATGAATCTCTTCCAAATCAGTTTGCAATAGGAGATGAGTCACATATTCCAAAAGAAGAGCCAATCTATGAAGAAATTTCAAGTGACGAGGAGATGGGCTATGAAGCTCAAGGAATACCAAAGAAACAATTTGCATCAAAGATAATGGTGTTCACATTCGATGACATTCCTTTTGAAAAATGGAATAGTCGTCTCGACGAGTTTCATGCGTGGATGACGTCCGAAGCAATCACTTCCCCAACAGAAATGGTGATACAACAATTCACATCGAGACTTTCAGGCGCATTAAAAGAATGGTGGAATTCGCTTGGAGAATATCGGCAGCAGCAGGTGTATCAGACAACGATACCCCTACTCCTTGGAGAAATACATAGAGAATTCGTTGGCACCCCAAGTCATTTAAAAGAACAACTACAAGAAGAGTTCTACACTGCAAAGTGTTGTTCATTGAAGAAGAGAGATTTAGCAAAGCATTTCGAGCGACAAACTCGATGGTATTATGCTCTCAATGGTCTAAACAATCCAAGCCTGAAGCAAGTGTATCTCTCATCCATAGACGATTACCTGAGTCAACAAACAAAGCTGTATATCAGAGATCAAGGGCAGACAATCGAAGAAATCTCGATTGGACAAATCCAGCAGCACGTGTTCAGAACCCTTGACAAGCTTTGTAAGCAAAAAGAGTTTTGGTCAGAATTCATGGACAAGTCAAAGCATCTTTCGAAGATATGTGCTCGCCCAGATCTGAACATCAAATGTTCGAAAAAGAAAAAATGTTCATGTGAAGATCGACGAAATGACCGAAGAAGATCCAAGAAATCATTCCTGAAGTCGAAATATTTCAACAAGATTAAACGCAAGCGATTCTTTAGGAAGAAGAAAAGCTTCAAGAAAACTTCGAGATGTTTTCTATGCAGAAAGACGGGGCATTTTGCAAAAGAGTGTCCAAACAAGTCTAAAAAGAAGAAGCAGTATCTCATTCATTCGATAACCAAGATAGCTCCAGATCTTGATATCGATAACCACGATCTTGAGTCAATACTATCTTACGATAGTGACGAAAATGATGTTATATGCAGTTATTCAGATTATGACGAATCTTCAGAATCCTCATCCGAAGATGAAAAAGACGATTGTTGTTTCAAGATTACCCATATGCCTCAAGAAGATGAACTCCAGACACCACATCTACCAGTAACCATCTTTGATCCCTCCAAAAGAGAAAAGCCAGTGCATGCAATCGCATTCTTCGACACAGGAGCTCATACAACAATCATAAATCCAAAGATTCTTTCACGAACCATGTGGATGCCTCATCAACAAGATTTCAGAGTCGCAAACGCTGGATCCCTAACGGTTAAGCTAAAATCAAAACCAATCACGATAGAGCTTTTCCCTGGATGTCAAGTTACTAAAGAAGTACTAGGTTCATCTGCACCTGGTAAAGACTTAATCCTTGGGTGGGATACTTATTCGATACTGAAGAAGAAGTTCGGTATTTCTCTAGAACCAAGAGGCGTGAGATGGAAAAATCTCTACAAGGCTTTTACCACGATGCATCGCCTGTTCTCAATCGAAGACTCAGTATCTGCAGAATTCAACAAAATTGAAGAAGAATTAAAGATGACATCATGTGCTGATTCACACACGGAATTCCTTCAGAAGTGTAATCATCCGCTATGGTTAAACTCAAGCTTCTTCGTATCCCTACCATTCAAGGAAGACGTACACACAACACCAACAAAGGCAAGCCATGCAGGAATGCCTCCAACATTGTTGCAGAAGGCAAATGAAGAATGCAATCAATTGATCGATCAAGGTATCATCTCAAGAACAAATTCTCCATGGGCATGCAAAGCGTTCTACGTTAATAATCGTGCAGAACGAGCAAGAGAAAAACTCAGATTAGTTATTGACTACAAACCGCTGAACCAATATCTGCAGGACGTCAAGTTTCCACTACCAAATAAAAGAGCGCTCCTCCAACATCTCCAAGGTGCAAAAATATTTTCGAAGTTTGATCTAAAGTCAGGATTTTGGCAACTCGGCATTCATCCTGAAGAAAGATACAAAACTGCGTTTTGCCTTCCAAATAGACACCTTCAATGGAATGTCTTACCCTTTGGTCTCAAGACGGCGCCATCGCTATTTCAACAAGCAATGTTACGTATATTCGAGCCATTGTTACACACAGCTCTTATATACATTGATGACATACTCATCTTCTCGAAGAATGAAGAAGAGCATATTCAGGCGCTACAACAGTTTCAAGACATCGTCAAGAAAAACAAAATCATGCTATCAGCCAGAAAGATGATAATAGCCCAGCCCAATATTGATTTTCTTGGCATGCATATCAAAGAAGGAAGTTTCATACCACAGGCCCATTTAGCTACAGAACTTCTAGATTTTCCCGATGAAAATCTTACAAGGCGACAAATTCAACAATTTCTTGGAGTAATCAATTATGTGGGAGACTTCATTCCACACCTTTCCAAAATGACGAGACCTCTACAGAAGATGTTGTCGAAGAACCCTCCTTTGTGGGCATCACGACAAACTGAAGCTATCAAAAGTCTAAAAGCAGAAGTGCAAAAGCTACCCCCTTTAAAGATTCCTTCCTCAGGCATGCGTATTCTACAGACAGACGCTAGCGATAAGTATTGGGGAGCAATACTGTTTGAAGAGATGGATGGGAAAAGACAAATCTGTGGATACAAGAGTGGTCGTTTCAAAGATTCAGAGCAACATTATCACTCAACGTTCAAGGAGATTTTAGCAGTCAAAAAAGCTATCGAGAGGTTTGAATTTCATCTAATAGGACACAAATTTCGTATAGAAATGGATATGTCTTCGTTTCCCAAAATGTTACAGTTCAAGCAGAAGATGGTCCCGCATCAGCAGCTACTAAGATGGAGTGAATGGTTCTCAAAGTACGATTTCGAGTCAGTCTATTTAAAGGGCACCAAGAACACTTTAGCAGACATGCTAAGTCGAAAGCCAGTAAAACAAGAAACGCCCTACGAGATACACATGATGGCCAGTTCATCCGAATCCAAGAAGAGCTACTATGACTTTGAAGCAGACGTACCCAAAGATGTTCATCAACTCATCAGCAGAAACAAGCTTCATGAACTACTACGCACAAGGATCTTTTCATATCAATCTACCATCCTGTCAAACTATGGGGTAAACTGTCACCACATTGCTCCAATGGGAATTCATCCTGACTATCCGTTTGCACATCTCTACAGGATCGAAAATTCAAATATGCCAGAAGAAGTTCTCTGTTTCCTCTGGTATCTCTGTGCCGTCTACACTGTAGGAATTGTTTTCGACATCCAATGGCTGTATCATTACGTCAACACTGTTCAAGACAAAAGAGACTACTTCTCAACATTCCTGAGGTGGTTTTCACCATTAACTGTCTGGAGTGGAAAACTACGAAAATCCGCAAATGCGACGAATCTAACATTCAAAAAGCTGAAAAAGGAGGACTCAACCCGTTCTTCAATCCGCATTCGATCTACTTCTTTCATCGTCCCGTTAAGGTCAACCGCAAATCAAGCAAGATTCACGCCCTTCCAACTCTCATTCATCACGGTGATTTTTCAAGAGGAGTTCGTCCAGATTTCAACCTTCAAGATAACGAAGCATACGAGAACTTCCAAACTCATGCGTTTCACCTAAACAATGCAAGACAAACGTTCCCTATTCCGTTCATACCCAACTGGGTTCATTATCCAGTCGACTATCAGATGCAACTTGATGAAGATTTACAGTATCACATGATGAAGTTTGACCAAAGAAGACCAAGCAGTCCAAAAGAAGATAAACAAGAAGAGACAACTCCCCAGGTGACTTCTCAAGATTACTGTGCCGATTACTTCAAAGACGCTCAATCTCCAGATGATGAAGTAAATGTTGAAGATATCGAAGAGAAGTTCAAATTCTGCATAAATGTTCAACCAGGAGAAGATGCACGAATGATTGAAGACTCGTATGAATGTCCAGATGATCATTATGGATGCTGCGAAGAACATATGCTGGAGTTTGAAATGGATCATTAAACGGTATGGAAACTATAAAATATAATATGTTTAAAATCATGTAAAATAAATAATGATGTAAGCGATGATGTAATCGCTGATGTAATGATTATGTAAGCAATGATGTAAGCGATGATGTATCGCTGAGGTAAGCGCTTATGTCAGCGCCTTAAATCCTCCTATAAATAAGTGTGTACCCCTTGTAAGAAATCAGAACTTGAAATATCATAAAAATTTCATAATAAGCTTTCTCTCTCATGTTTCTCTAACTTCTCTCTAGGTTTTCCAGACTTCCTAACTTCTTCATAAACCTTGTTTCTTTCTATTCTAAACACAGTCGCGATTCTGTATTGTTCTCTTAAGGTTAGCATAAGTGGTCCGTCAATACGACGGTCGAACACGGCAGTCAATAGTACTCGCCGGGGTTCACAGTTCCTAATAGTAGGTTGAGCAACACAGATGACAATGAGGCCCGAACCGCTCCCTTTACCTGGAATATGAACCCTTGCTTGTAAATACGACTCGTCGTCTAGACTTAGTCAACACGACCCTCCGCTCGTGCTAGCTTTAAGATAATGGTATCAATCCATTGTTTTTTTTTTTAGTTTATTCTAGGCTTGGGCATAAAACTCGAAAACCGAACCGAAATTGACCAAACAGTCATAAAGCCGAATGGATTTTAATGTTTCTATCTGAATCTGAACCTAACCAAAAACCGAACAGTTATCCAAAAATCTGAAATAAGATTATATATCCAATGTATATTTAGTTATAAATTTATATCCAAAAATACTAAAGATCTAAAATAACCTAAATATCCAAAAATTCATACTGTTTTTTCTTTCCGAAACAAACCGTAACTTGATGTTTACCTGAACCGAAACCAAACCGACTAGTAGTAATAAATCCGAATGGATACAACCCGTTGAAGTATCATCTCAGCTTCCTTTCTACCTAATTGCTCATGCCTCAAGGCATCAACAGCCTCTTGATACTTCTCATGAATTTTGGCCAGCTACAAGATAAAAGGAGCGATATATACACCAACAACAGAGTTGAAAGAGTGAAGCTGCTAGTGCAGGTCCTGACACACGAGCAGGAACCTTAGAAATTACTGCTTGGCTTTCCTCTATCATGTTGCTGGTCCCAGAATCATCAACCCGCCAGGACCAAAGGTGTGTCAGGAGAAAGATGTGAGAATTTTATCTGATCCGTGCACACTAGGACACTCGAGATATTAAAAATATTTGAGTACAACTAAAAATCTACTTCGACAAATCAAATACTCTTCCAAATCACTTCACTGTAAACCTAAAAGTCCTCCTAAACTATGTAAAACTTTTAGCAACAGCAAGGAATTAAAAAAAAACTTAGTGACTGCTGTTTTTTTTTTAGTTGTAATGTCGGTTGCAAACAACAGAATTGGATGCAAAGTGGATCTTTTGAAGCACAAAATATCACTTGTCCCCACTTTTACTGATTATTTTCTCAATTTGATAAGCAATTGTAGCAAATCCGAGTGGCAAGTATACAAAAATTAAAATTAAAAAAGCTGGCATACCTTGTGAAAATGCTGAAAGGTATCAAGATTTAGCTCATCTGTTTTCCTAGTTTTCTCAATTTCTACTTCACACTTCTCAAGTTTTTGTTTTAAGGTCTTCCTTCTCCTGATGTTGCAAAAAAGAAAAAACTAACTATCTCACTAGAAAACCAATTTAAAGATAGGTTGTTCGACTCAAAAATAGTTTGACAATAACAAAACGTATTGACACAACAAGTCTGTCCGGTTTGGCTTGGGTGCTTAATTACCTTAAGTGCATGTTTCCGACTAGAGAGATGTCTGGAGAAACTGTTAAAGCCTTGGCCACCAAAATATTTGCATAATAAGCAAAACCAGCTGGCAGATTTACCAAATTCACCGTACGTATCCTCTTCAAGCGCCCCTGATTCTGGAGAAGAAAAAGAAACAAAGGAGCTAGTTCAGCAACAGATTTGCTGGTTATTTCAACAACACTGTCAGAGAGAGAGAGGACAAACACACACCTGCCAGAATTAAGCTGGATGGCGTCTTGTTGAGGAGAAGAATATGAATACGGCCGAAAAAGATTGTATCCACTCTGAGGTGGAGGTAAGTATATCGGATTGCATATGCCCAAAATATTAGCTGGGGGTGGATTCTTAGAAATCCACCGAGACATAAGCAACTTGATGTCATCGAAACCTGCTTCAGAAGAAACTAAAGACTTGGGGGAATGACAGAGAGTGATTCCAGAGGAAGAGAGTGCTCCAAGGATGTAATCAGGGACGTGTGATAGATGGCCAACGGCAGTGATGGTGAGAGGACCAGAGTAGCCATATTTCTCCAAAAACCGTGACCAACAGTGACAGTTGCATCAGGAACAGGGGACGCCGGGTTGAGGTAGCTAGCAAGGCCGAGACCATCAAGGAATGACCTGACTTGCAGGCTCCACATAAGGTAATTGGAGCTGGTGAGTCTTGTAACATGAGACATATTGATTGTGAGAACAGATTCAGTGTTTAGAGGGATATTTTCAGCGTTTGAGGTTGCCATTGATGACGGCGGAAAGAAAAGAAAATTTTAGGTCTCTTAGAACGAGAGCTCTTGATACCATGTAAATATTGAAGGTGATGATTTTATTAAGAAGATGGTACAATCTCTTTATACAAAACAGAGGAAGCTAAGAAAGGAACACCTAATCATACGTTAATGCTAATGATATCCTATAAATGATTATAGGGATTGACTAATCATAATAAAGACTAAATATACTATGTACATATTTAGCTAATACTTTGAAGTCAGCAAATGAAAATAATTTCAACCCAACCAGTACAAAGACTAATTCCAAGCCAAAAATGTTGTCTTTGATAAGACAGATGAACACAATTAAGAGAAACTGAAGGGGGAAGATCATTAGTCCATATGTTATCAGATATCGAATCACCCACCTTTACCTTGAAACTGAAGAGATTTGATTTCATCCTCGGTCAATATTGAGGCGCTTGTACTGGTACGCTCACCATTAAGTGATCCCCAGGTAGATTCTGCCATATTTAAGGCACTCTCAAGCTAGACAATAAAAAATTGCAAAAAAATTTGTCTCTTTGTCTCCATCAGGAAACGACGTCGTTCACACGTGGCATCCATGTAAGCAACCGTTGACGGACTTCTAACACCGTCACGGCTTAGGTATAGATTTTCACAAATTAGTTAGTTTGGGATGTGAATTTGAAATTTCAAATAGTTATTGTATGGATTTGCACTATAGTCAGTTTGGAGTATGAATTGAACATAGTACTTTAGCTGAGGTATGAAATGACCGGTTTTCACAACAAAGGTGCAGTAAACTAGAGTATTCAGAAGACCACTGTTTCATGAAATGGAACAACAGGATGGGTAATAAAATCTAGTCAGTTTCTAGAATCATACAATAAAAACCAACGTCAGCGTGAATATGCACAATGGTCAAAATGTTTCTTGATATACAGAGCTTTAAACATCCTGGCTTTCATAATTTCTCTGAACAACACGCCATTTTTCATGTTCTGTTTCCAGGTCATTCTTCAAAGTGGACATTTGGATATTCATTGCTTCAATTGGGAACTGCAGTCAGTTGCACAATGTCAATTTAGGGACGAACATGTGTGTGTGTGTATGTGTGTCCACGAGAAAACAAAAAAAAGATACTTCCGTTACATAGTAGAACATTTAGTTTTTAACTAAGCTTTCTTCTCTCAGACTTGCAAGTCTGAAGTTCATGGGCAGATTCCATCTGCTTTACTGCAGTTTCATTCACCTGAGCTTTACTCTTGTACTGCATGATGGCTCACAAGGTCAGTTAATAGTCATGTTGAAATCAAAACTAACTTGGCCAATTCAGGAAGTACCTGGAGCATGTGGCTTTTGCTACATTCTACTTCTCCCCTCAATTTTTCAATTTCTTCCTTTGCGGTACGCAGTTGTACGGACATCTAGAGTAAATAATTACCACAGCCAAAAAAAGATTAGCAGACCACCTTACACAACCATATAATGAATTTTATATATAGCAACAAGTAAAAGGTAACTCAAACAGTAGCTTAAGCGAAAGCCTCAAATCTACATGATAAAATTCAACTAACTCAGTAATGCTTACTGCAGATCCTAAATCATGCCTGAATCTTATGTACAACTTCCAAAATAATATCATAAGCAGCCTTTTGCAAATAGATTGCAACCAGGAAATCCAAACAATACCATAATTAGGGAACTTAAATCCCCATCTCAGAATGTAAAAATGCTGAAAAAGAAAATTTGAAGGACATCACTGACCTCATTATCTCAAAGAGAGCAATTCCACCGCTGTCCATATCTAGAGCCTAAAAGTGAGAAAATGAAAGTCGTCACAAACTAGTAATAGCAAATTCCAGAAATTGATTTGGGCCTGTTCACAAGTAGTAAAATGATTTTCTGGAAATTGGTCTTGGCCTATTCACAAGTAGTAAAACCAATTGCCAAACCACATGGAAAGACTCACTTCGCAAAAGCAACACCAGAAAAATGGCAATCTAAGAAATGTCGACCAGGGAAAGCTATTAGGGTATGTAACCGAAGGAGCCGGATAGAGTTCTGATAGATGCTAGTGATGTGCAGCACTTCGATGCAGTATGGAATTGGTTCATGTATTCAAGAGTCTAAGTTATTACGAAAGGTAAAGACTTGAAACAGCACCTCAGCGACAGAAGCCTTGGACTCTTCTCTTCTACTGAGACAGCCTTCAAGGCATTACAGCATTGTTCAAAGTTTGATTGCGGTCCGAAGTAATATTCCGCGCATTCCTCCTTTCTTCTTGCAATTCTTTTTAGCTTCAGCCCTTCTCTCTGTGAATATCCCGTCCAAAACATCAGTTAACTTCTACTCTTCTACATAATATTTTTCAAGAAACTTAAAAAATGTGCAGCAAAAGAATTTATCAAATATGCTATAGACCTCAAGTTGCTTGATATGCTCCTCTTGTTTCCTTCTCTTGGCAGCTCTTGCTTCCTGAGTTTTTTTTGTTAAGTTATATCATTTTCAATCTGTATTGCAGTATAGAATTAGGAAACTAAATCAAAGGTCGTTTTCTTACCTCACAAACTTCCTTTGTACTTTGTACAGTATCCAAGGTAGCCTGCAGAACAACAGGTCAGCAAAAAAAAAGACTACGCACAACTTGAAATAGATTTGCACTACTCTCCTGTTTCCAACTTGAGGTAAAGCAGAGACTTCATCAGAAGCTCTTTTTACAGCATTTGATAACACCTCTTTTTCTTGTTTTAGAACCGCGACCTATAGATGAATGTTACTACCTCCATAGATAATTTTCTGGAGATCTCTTCCGCTGCGGGCAGAGACTCAGAATTCTCACTTAATTTCCTCTGGTTGTCAATTATTAGCTGTGAAGACTCTATGTTTCTTGCCAAAACACCGTTCATTTCTTCCCTCTAAGATAAACACAGGTAAGGTGAAAACCTTGAAGATTGCACAAGCTGTTGATGAAATGAATTTGTGACAAGATCACCTTGCATTCAGATTCTTTCATGACGCCCTCTAGTTTTTCCGTAGCAAAATATGCCCCCATCGCCAACTTATCCCGTTCAGACCTTATTGCAATTATTTCACTCCAAAATCCAAAAGAGAAAGATGAAAACAGCGCAGTTAATAATATTCTGATACAGTAAACAAAATATACAGGAAACAATGACAAAAATCGATAGCTACAGTTTGAGTTTCATGGATATGCTACATTAAGATACAACCCAGTTTTTCATGTTGTTTCTCTATGAATCATTTATTTCCATGTAACTTATATAGGACACCTACACTGGTATTGCAAACACCTAAACTCAGATTAGTATTTTCAGAAAACCACCTGCATATGCAAATTCGTTTCACACTAGAGACTACGCTTCCCACACTTTATTTCCTTTGCTATAATAGTCTGGGTTCTAGTTCTCAACTTGACTATCCAACTAGAAAATGTGTTACATATCCAGCGGTACCCTAGTTTATCAAACAAACTGTTTGGACAAAAACTAATAACTTGTTCAGCAAGTGAAAGATAAAAGACAAGAGGATGATAAAATATACCTAGCCTTTGCAAAATCTTCTTCGAGACTCAAAATGCATTCAAAAGCTTTTTCTTGGGCTCTTTTAGTAGCTTCCTGGAACAAGCAATTCAATCAATAAGGTGAATCCCAAACAACTACTTTGATACGCTAGAAAAGTGGAAAACAAAGACGAGGAAAGAAACATTTAGCAATCTGTCATACCTCAAAGCATATGTAAGAAGTTCTTCCTTCCTGGCACTACAGCTACACGAATACGTCTCTGTCAGCCATTTGAAAGCTAGTGTGCCACTGAAACTATGTTTCTGTAGGTCGGATATATATATCTTTCTGCAATAGAGTGTTTTCACGTTCCGTCTCCTCAAGTCAGCCTAAAATCAGATAAATGTATAAGAACAGCACAAGAACGCATCTTGACCATCCACTATAATAATACGAGGTACGTTTAGCTCCATAATGAACTTCTCCATATTTGATTGTTAAGAGATAGAATCATGAAGTTTTTGCTTAACTTGACAATATGATACGGTGCACCAATCCTATTATCGCAAGAGCCACATCAGGAGAAGAATGATGCGTTGACTGAGGACGTGGACGAGAACAAAGAAGAAGGGAAAGGCTCTGGGTGAGACATAGGCTTTACTGTAGAGTACTTCGAGTATAAATAAGCCGTTGGCAACTCTGTTTCTTTTTATGCTTTTTCTGATTTGTTGTGATTCTGTGAGAGAGATATTTGGTCCTGGTGATGCGCCAGAAGAGAGTCTCTATGTTGAGCTCTTGTAATCGTTGCTAGTGTGAGAGGTGAACGATTATATATCTTTCATAGATCAATTGCTACTTTGGTAATCGATCGAATCTTTCTTAAATTCAAATCAGAGTTTCTTAAAAGCTGAGTTTATACTTTATTCTTATTTTCTGGGTTGATTGAGTTGATCGGAGTACATAATTATTGAAGAAAGATCAGTTTCAATGGTCAGATGAGGCTCAACAAGCGTTTGAGCAATTGAAACAAGCAATGATATATGCGCTTGTTTTGAGTTTGCCAGATTTTAATAAGCTTTTCATCATTGAGTCTGATGCTTCTGGGACTGGAGTAGGCGTTGTTCTGTTGCAAGACAAATGACCAATTGCTTATTTTAGTCATGGCTTGACTACTCGTGAACTGTTGAAACCCGCATATGTGAGAGAATTGATGGCAATAGTAATAGCAGTTCTCAAATGTAAGCATTATTTGCTTGGAAGAAGATTCATGGTCCACACAGATCAGAGAAGTTTAAATTTTTTGTTGGAACAGAGAGGAGTTAATATGGAATATCAGAGGTGGCTCACTCGGTTGTTGGGGTTTGATATGGAAATTGTGTATAAGCCTAGTGTTGAAAACAAAGCAGCAGATGGGTTGTCAAAAATTCCACATCCGATTTCTGTGATGTTGTTAGCTATAACAGTTCCTGCAGTGATTCAACTACATGATTTGTATAAAGAAATTACAGAGGATCCGGGAATTCAAGCTCTTATTTCTCAACTACAACTTCAGACCTTAAAGAATGCGCATTATACATTGGTGGATGGGAAGTTATGGTATAAGAGGAGATTGGTAATTCCTAAGACATCAAAGTGTATTCCTCTGTTTCTACATGAGTTCCATGACAGTAAAGTAGGAGGTCATGCAGGCGTCCTCAAAACGTTAAAGAGGATTCAAGAGTTTTTTCACTGGGAAGGTATTTACAAGGATGTGCAGAAGTATGTCTATGAATGTTCGTTCTGTATGTCAAGAGCACAAGTACTCCACTTTGTCTCCAGCAGGTTTGCTGTAGCCTTTGCCTATACCTACAACCATTTGGGAAGATATCTCGTTGGATTTCATTGAAGGATTGCCAACCTCGGGTGGAGTTAATGTGATATTGGTTGTTGTAGATCGGTTGAGCAAATTCGCACATTTTATTGGACTGAAGCACCCTTTCTCTGCTTTGGATGTGGAGAATAAGTTCATTACTGAAGTGGTGAGACTACATGGATTCCCAAAATCGATTGTCTCCGACAGGGATCGTCTGTTTTTGGGCAAGGTATGGACTGAATTGTTTCGTTTGTCGGGTACCAAACTCAAGTTCAGTACAGCCTATCATCCGCAGACCGATGGTCAGATTGAGGTTCTAAATCGCTGCCTAGAAACTTATCTTCGTTGTTTCGCATCTAGCCACCCCAAGACTTGGGCTAAATTTCTTCCATGGTCAGAATTTTCATATAACACATCCTTTCATTCTTCCATCAAGACTAACCCCTTTAAAGTTGTGTATGATCGTGATCCCCCACAGCTAATTAAATTTGAAGTTGGGTCCACAGAGAGCTGGGAGTTGGAGGTTCAGCTCAAGGAACGTGATATCATGTTAGAACGGATTCAATTAAATTTGCAGCGAGCGCATGATTTGATGAAAAAGGTTGCTGACAAGAAACTTTGTGAGGTGGTGTATCAGGTGGGAGAGTGGGTGTATTTGAAGCTCCAGCCATATCGTCAACAATTTGTGGTTCTCCGAAATTGGCACAAGCTGTCTGCCAAATTTTTTGGTCCATTTCGCATCCTAGAGAGAATTGGTGCTGTTGCGTATCGCTTGAAACTGCCTGATGCGTCAAAAATTCACAATGTTTTTCACATCTCGCAGTTGAAAGCAGTTATGGGCAATCATCAATCTGCTCAGTCTGCAGCGCCACCGGAATTGATTGAAGAAGAAGTGTTCTTTCCGGAGAAGATACTAGAGGTGAGGTTTAATGCGATTGGCGGCCGCGAGTTTCTTGTCCAATGGCTGGGTCAATCGTCAGATTGCAATTCGTGGATGTCGTCGCGGGAATTTGTCCGGTTGTTTCCGACGTTCACGCTTGAGGACAAGCTCATTTTCCGCGACGGAAGTATTGATACGGTGCACCAATCCTATTATCGCAAGAGGCCACATCAGGGGAAGAATGATGCGTTGACTTGTTAGGATATGTATATTTCCATCTCTACCCTTTGATGTATACCCTAGTACTCTTTGTAACTCTATATATTGATGTCTCTAATATGAGAGGAGACACGGCAATTCATTATCCAATATGGTATCAGAGCCTTTGCTCTTCTAAAAACACTCTTTTCGTCTCCTCTTTCTCTCTTCATCTCCCTTCTTTTTCATCTTTTCGTCTCCCTTCTTCTTCATCCTTTTCTCTTCATCTTCCTTCTTCCTCAAAGCAATCCTCTTTCTTGTTATTCATCTCTAATTCTCTCTATTCTCAACGATGGCCCTTACTCCTCCCACCAATGACAAACCATTCTCTATAAGCCAAATCAAAGCTTACGTACCCATCACTCTTGACATGACCAAACTCAATTATGATACATGGAGAGAGCTTTTTGAAACACATTGTAGCAGTTTTGGTGTTCTTGGTCACATCGACGGCACCTCCTCCTCCACACCGGAAACTGAAAAGTCATGGAAGGAACACAACGATCTTGTCAAGATGTGGATCTACGGGACAATTACGGAGTCCATCCTCGAAACTGTTCTCAAACCAAAGTGCTCCGCTCATGACCTTTGGACTGCCATCGAAAGCTTGTTTCGTGATAACAAGGAAGCACGCGCTATGCAATTAGAGAATGAACTGCGAACCACAGTTATTGGAGATCTATCTGTTCATGAATATTGTAAGAAGCTCAAGTCCATCTCCGATCTCCTTGCGAATGTTGATTCACCGATCTCCGAACGTGTCTTAGTGATGCACATCCTCAATGGCTTGTCAGACAAGTTTGATAGTATCATCAACGTCATCAAACACAAATCGCCTTTTCCGGGTTTCATTGAAACACGGTCGATGCTACAAAGCGAGGAAGATCGACTATCGAAGCACCTGAGGTCTGTCCCTAGTAGCGCTCCTCCTTCTGCTTCTTCTTCTTCACCTACTCTTCTCTACACTTCATCGGAGCCATCCCAGAATCATCCTTCTACTCACGGTTCCGGTAACCACTCCTACTCCAATAATTCTAATTATGGTGGCAATCGTGGCAACCGTGGCAATCGTGGTCGTGGCCGTGGCGGTCGCGGATATCGAGGTCGTGGAGGTCGTTTCTACAACAACAATTATTGGCAGCCTCCTTATCCATCATGGCCTTCTCCTCCTTATCACAATATGCTTCAACCATCCTCGCATACTCCCCTGGGAACGAAAACAGATTGCCTCATAGGTCCATGTCTCCATAAAGATGCAAATAAATTACCGGTACAGATAAAAGATTTCTTTGGGAGAGGAAAACATATGGCTCCAGAAGCACAGAATTGGATCGTACCTCTTTCTTCTTGGATAAATTCGGCTTTCTCTTCTAATTCGGATAACACCTACAGAGCAGGATACCAAGAGTAAGTTAACCGGAGAAGAAAGATGGTAGAGCATGATTATTGGTAGTATCTTAGAAATATTTCTTAGCAATATTTAAGTAATATATGTGTAAAAGTGATTGTTAAGAGATAGTATTTTTGAGTTAAGATTTTTGTGTGATTAATGGTAGGCTTTTAACATGTGGTTCTTAGAAAGAAAAAAATTAACATAAAAATAAAATTTATAATTATAGAAAATTTAATTATAGTTGCAAATTAAAAAAATTAAAACATACATGAGATACAATTTATAACATAAATAACAGAAAGCATAAATGTTTTAAACTTAATTTCTGAAATATTTTGTCCATATATGCTCCGTGTTTAAAAAATCGCTAGGAGCTAGTCGGGCGTTCGGTATAGGCCTAGCGATTAATCGGAAAATCAGATTAAAATCGGGATTAATCGGGCATTAGTTTTATGGTTTTTTTTTATATTTTTATCGCATTAACACATAAAACTATATTTTGAGATAAATTTTTATGAGTTTTATTACAAATTTATGATTTTTATTAAAATTTGAACATAAGTTATTGTAAAACATCACAAACTCCCAATTTAAATGATTGAATAACAAAAATAAAAAGTTTTTTTATACTTGAAATCTAAAAATAATCGGGATATGTAAATTAGGCGGGGAGTAATCGGATTAGGCGAGAAGTAATCGGATTAGACGAAAAGTAATCGGATTAGACGGAGAGTAATCGGGTAACTGATTTCTTTAGAGGATTAGTCATTAATCGAGGCGAATAGGGTGGGCCTAGCGATTAAGCGGGGAGTAATCGGGATAGGCGGAGATTTTTAGAACATGGCTCTTAGCTAAGGAACGTTTCTTAACATTAAAGCACAAAATTGATTAAATTATATTGCATTAGATGTTAAGAAAAACTTAAGATTTCTATAAGAGCTTGCCTTTAATCATGCTTATGCCTAGTGAATTGTGGTTAAAAAATTACTAGTGAAACATAGAGAAATATAGAAAAAAAAAACAAAAGTGGGAAAGATTGGAAATCTAAATTCTAAACAAAGACCTGGTAATAATAAGTTAAGTAGATCATACTTTTCTATCCGAATTACCCGAATCCAGAAAAACCGGAACCAAATCCAATTGGAAATCCTGAATGTCCAGAACTACTTATTTTTATACTATAAGACCAAATCTGGACTTTATATCAAACCGACATTAACAAAAACAAAAACAGGTACATATAATCAATAAAGAATAGTTTTGTCTAATTTTAAGAATATAGAAAAGGAAGAAGGTCTTTTGCGCAATTTTGTATAAATTAGGACGTATAAATTAGAGAAAGGACCAAACAATTGCAGAAACCCTAGCATAATGGGGCGGCCGAAAGCGATACCAGATGATGACGACGGCGACGACCTTTCACAGTTCACAGGCTTCGAGCTCGATGAAAAATACATGAAGAGATTGGAGCACAACAAGAACCGCGAGGCTCTCCAGCGACACGAGGAGCAGAAGAAGAAAGGTCTCATCGACGATCCCGAGGAAGATTCTGAGCCTGAGTCTGAGCCGGATTCTGATCTCGGAAATCCAGAAAGCGATCTCAAATTCGTTGATTTGTTGCTTAAGGTAAAGAAAAAGGATCCTATTATTAAGAACAAAGATGCTAAGTTCTTTGAGTCTGATGAGAGTAGTGAAGAAGATGAGGTTGATGAGAAGGATAAGAAGAAGAAGAAGAAGAAGAAGAAGAAGAAGTTGTATTTGAAAGATGTTCAAGCACATCATTTGCTTGAGGAAGGTCCTGAGTTTGTTGAGGAAGATGAGGAGAGGAAGGTTAGGACTTACGCTGAGCAGCAGGGCGAGTTGAGGAGAGCTGTTACGGATGCTTTGGAAGCTGGAGGGAATGAGAGTGATGGAGATGATGATTTTTTGAGAGTTGTGGAGAAGGAAGGAGATGATGATGTGGAGGTTGATCAGGAGTTAGCTAAGAAAATTGATGAGTATTTTGGTGAAGAAGCTGAGGTTGTTGAGAATCAGTTTTTGAAAGATTATTTGGTGAAACAATTGTGGAAGGAGAAAGAGGAGAAGATTATAGATAAAGCAGAGTTGAAGGAGTTGAGTGAGGATGAGCAAGCTGTTTGGGATCAGGAGGATTTTGAGGCAGGAAGACCGTTGGAGAGAAGCTATAGGCATGAAGAGAATGCTGGGGACATCGTTATGGGTCAGTCTAGGGTTGTGAAAGGGTCGGTGAGGAAGAAGGATAACGCGAGGAAGGTGCAGAGGAAGAGTAAAGAGGAGAGAATGAAGATGGCTGAGATTGAGAGGAAATAGGAGTTGAAGCGATTGAAGAATGTTAAGAAGAAGGAGATGAAGGAGAAGATGAAGAAGGTGCTTTATGTTGCTGGTTTTAAGGATGGAGAAGAATGTCCGTTAGATGCGAAAGATTTTGATGATGAGTTTGATCCGGAGGAGTATGATAAGATGATGAAAGCTGCGTTTGATGATAAGTATTATGGTGCGGAGGATTCGGATTTGAATAGTGATGAGGATGATGATGGAGAGAAACCAGATTTTGACAAGGAAGATGAATTGCTTGGACTTCCCAAAGATTGGGATGTGACTAAAGGTGGGGATGTTTTTACAGCCGCTAGAGAAAAGGGTTTGAAGCACAAGGGGAACGTTTTGGGGGATGATGGAGAAGAAGAGGAAGAAGAAGTAGATTGTGGATGTCGGATTCACACACTCAAGTATTTTTATTAAGTAGGAAAGATTACTCTTGAGGGACAAAAATGAATATGTAAAAACTATAAATTGCTACGAAAATTGCTATAGTATTTCTTTCTTGAGAGGAAGATCCCCCTTACATGGCCATTGGCCTTTGTATTTATACATAGGAAAACGACATTAAAATGGCTAATTAAGTATAATTATTCTCTCTTAAATGTGTCCGTTTTGATCTTCGGCTTTAATGCCTCAACGTTTGAATTTGAATTGACTCTGATCTTCATGGGCCCCGCCTTTTGGCCCAAATGTCCTTAAACCGATTCAACCGTAATTTCGATGCCGGACTCATGCCAAAATGCAGTCACTTCGGATTCTCCTTGTGGCGATACCCACTTCGACTGTTCCCTTGGCTCACGGATTCGACGGGCTTCATCCTTTATGGGCATTTATCTTGACTACGTGGCAGTCTTTGGTTGGTCTCGGACTTCTGGTGCGGGATCCGACACCAACAATTAGCCCCCCAAGTTCTTCGAAGTGCTATTCCAATTCGGAGGACTTTAAATGCTTTAATGACCAAAGATTGCGTTCCGAGGAATCTTCTGATTTTCCCGCCAAGATCCCATCAGTCCTTTAATTTCGGTGCTACCCATATTTAGTCGCGTGACATCTGTCGCCATTATGACCGCATATCGTTTTACTATTAAAGCGGGAAAAAACCTTCCCACTTCTTCCACGATTTCCAAGACGGTTCCATCATTATCACCTAGCTTGCGTGAGGTAACCTTCTTTTTCATTATTACTTTTACTCTTGATCTTTGTGGTTAAAAACTCCTTCTACTTTTCTCTCCAAATTCTTCTTTTTCCCGAAACTTGAATTTTTCATTCTTCCCAATGACTTCCGATTCCGATAGACCCGAGTCTCCGTCTTTTGATAAGAGGCGTTCTAGCAATGACGAGTGCACCCGCTCTAATGATATTGCCGGTCCACACTATAGATCCACCTGCACCCTTCAGTCCCTCGAACGATTGAAAGAGCTCTGCCGAATTCCACCGGGAATTATGGCGGAGGCGCAGATAGCTGATCCTACGGAGTCCCCAGAAAACCATCGCGACGGCTATTTCTGTGTATATGAGATCTATTTTAAAGGTTGCGGGCTGACTTTTCCTCTTCCTGAAGCCCTAGTTCGATACCTAGCGGCTCTTGAAATCGCTCTTCCTCAATTAACCCCCAATCTTCTCCGTACTGTTCTTGGAATTATAACAATCGCGGCGGAGGCCGGATACGTTATCGGAGTCACTGAACTAAATGAGCTTCTAAGCGTGAGAAGTTCATCGAAGAAAACGGGGTATTTCTCAGCATATCCTAACGCCAACAGGAACATCATTTCACATCTTCCGAACAAGGATGAAAATTGGCATCATCCTTGGTTTCTGATTAAGAAAACTCCCGCTTCGATTGGAAATCTTGCAGATTTTCTCCCTTCGAAGTGGTCTGCGAAACCTGGTAGAGATTAGGTCGCCCGTATCTTTCCCGGTTGTTTCTTTATCTTTATTGACTAACACCGTTGTTTCATTTCGCAGCTTTCGTCGCTTCCACTCTCCCATCTGAAGAGTTCATCGAATTCTTCAAAATAATTCTTGAAGGGGAAACCCTTTGGAATTCTTTCACTCTTGAACGATTCCTAGAAGCTAACCACAGACTCAGGATGAGTCCACCAGGTCATCTTCACCAACTTCCGCCTCCTCCCTCAACTCAGGGGATGTCATCTCGGGCCCTTGCGGCCAAGCGTAAGATGCTTTCCAAGCCGATGGCTGAGGCTTGCGAGGAGAAGAAAAAAATTCTCGCGACTTCTATAGACAAGAAGGACTACAGTAGGACCCTGCTGGTTGATGATGGCAGCACCGAAGGAGCCAGATCCGTTGCTTCTTTCAGATTAACTCCTCGTCGCGATCGTCATGATTCACGTTCTCCTCGGAGGGACCGATCTCCTCGCCGTGATTCACCTCGTCCTCCCCGAGATGATTTTAGCAATGAACCAATTAAGAACTTGGTTCGCCGGAAGAGAGACAAGTCCTCTCGCAGTGATTCTTCCCCGCAAAGGGAAAAGTCAAGGGCCCGGACTGATCGTTCACCTCGATCATCTCCTCCTACTGAACCAATGGGTCCTCCACGACCGGTTGATATGTCTTCCCCTTCCCAACCTGACAGTGAAAAGACTGCCCGGAGCGCATCTCCCAAAAAGGGAGATTCTGAATCCCGAGATGCTTCCTCGAGGTTAAAGCCTGCTCTTGTCCCTCAAGTCAAATCGCTTTCAGGTTTGGTGATTCACACAGTCTTAAAAGTTTTTGTCTCTATTCAGATTCCGATTTTTACAACTCTTCTTCCTTTGCAACTATGGAGAAGGAAGGCAGCGTTTTCCGATGCTTCAAGACCCGATCGGGTTCGATCTTGCCAGACTTCGACAAGTGGCGCCCTGCGATTCGTGAACGCTATTTGCTTCATGCTCATCATTCATCCCGGGTTAGTTCCGCTTTATTTTTCCGATTATGCTGCCGTTCATCGAAATGACTCACCATCCCGATTTCATGCATAATGGCAGGCTAACGGTGAACTTAATGACATGATGGAACATTATGAGGGGCTGATCCTTGGTCGGGAAAAGGAGATTGACGCGTGGAAGAAAAAGCTTTCTGCTCTTGAGGCTGAACTAAGCTCTTCTACCGGCTCCAAGCACGATCTGGAAGACAAGGTCGACAATCTAACATCCGAACTGGCGAAGATTAAGGGGGAGCTGCAGGATCAGTACGACCAGAATTTCAAGCTCCAGGAAGAGTTTTCTGGTGTTCAGGGTAGGCTTCAAGAATCCGAATCAAACGCTGATTCCCTGAACAACCAACTTATTGAGCTTAACGCGAAGTACAAGGCGATCGCCAAATTACGTGATTCCGAGTTGGCAAGGTCGGCATCGAAGGCCAGAAAGGAGGTTAAGGGACGCGGGATGGAGTTGATCCAAGGGGCCATCCGCTTCATGCAGACCGAGAAGGCTAGGTCAGACTTGGAATCAGACATCAAGGAGCATGAGAGCAACCTGATTCTGTTGGACCAAATCCATGAAACAGATTTCTCCGAGGAGCAAGAAAGGACCGAACTGTCGACTAATCTTTCTGAAAAGCGGAGTCGCTTGGCAGCTCTTCCCACTTCGACCTTCAACCCGCATGACTTCGAGGAATTCTTTACTGAATCACCTCCTATAAGTGAATCGGGTTTAGACTGAGCAGGTAACGCTTGGCTCCTGACGCTTACCACCCTTTTCTTACCTTACGTTTTTTTTTTTTAAAATTAACTGGAACCGTCCTTCCCAGGCTCAAGTGAGACGGAAGATGTCGTCCCACCCAAAGTTCCTGTGACACCGGAGGTCATCCCGGAGGATGGTTGTACTGTGGAGAGCGGACCAGGAGTTTTATCTGACCAAGCACCTGCCAAGGAGGCGAATGAAGCTTCGACTGTTGAGCCGGAGTCCGAGGTGGCTGTTGCTCCGTAGTGGCTGTGTCCACTTTAAATTGGGAATTGTCCCATTAATTTTAAGACTTAATTTCGAACTTGTTTTTGCCTAAGGAGGCTTTATTATTTCTTTTGAACAAGATATTTGCCTGAGGAGGCTTTTAAACCTTTCTAGGTTATGACCCCAAGGGGGTTTGGTTAAAATTATATGCGGGTTTGCAAAGTCCGCTTTTAACCTTTTGTGGCCTTGTGGTTATGTTTTCGAGATTTTTAGGCTGATCAGACCTTTCTCTTTAGAATGCGAGAACTGAGCTTGGCTTAAAGCGAGTTCCCCACTTCGGGTTTAGTCAACTCGATAAATTTATTGGGCTTGAGCCTTAGAAAACTTTGTAGTTAATGCGACGGTTGCTCTTTCCCTTCTTATTTCTCAAAAGTAGGGAAAACGGCTCGTCTTTAATGCAATAACTGCCTTTTCTCGATTTTCCAAAAATGGTTTAAACCACTCGGGCACACTACCATTATTGGTTTTATGGTTCCAAGACAAACCCTAAATCATTATAAATAAAGGCTTACCTACTTCTAAGCTTTATTTAAACATGATTTTAGAATCTTACTTGAGAAATATTTCGAGAATGGAAAACGAAAAAGTAGCCCCCGTTGATCCCGGCAGCCCACTTTTCTTGTCCGGCGACGGCTTTGAACCGGCCGGCGTTCTCTTCCCTCACGCCGTCTTTCACTTTCCTTCAAAGGAGAAGAAAGAGGCTTGCGACTTTATTGACAAGGTAAATATTTAAAGTTTTTGATTTAAAAACCTTTTGTTTCATCTTATTCATTCATCTTTATGCTAGGTTGCCGACAAACACCGTCGCTTGTGTGAAGAGAGGCAACGGCTGGGCCTCAAAAGGCAAACACTCGAGGCTCGCATCGCTCGGGTGGAGAGGAAGATACGGGCCTTGGAAAGTGATCCCTTTCAATGGGAATGGCAAAACTTTGACTCTGTCGCTGAGATCCCGAAGATGTTTCGGATGTATCTCCGCGCTAAAGGAGTCCCGGGTCCCGTGAACGCCCCGGTCTATGCCGTTCCATCTGACAGCGAAGAAGAAGACGAAGAGGAGGCCAGCACCTGTCGGAAACGCGTTCGGGATCATCCCGAAGTGGATGCCAAGAACAAGGCGTCCACTTCGAAGACTAAACCGGCGATGAAGGAGCCTGTTCCTGAGCCTCTTCCATAAATGTTCTCTAACTTTTTCACTTATTTTGAACTCGTAATGGGCTTCGGCCCCTTTTTATTTATGGAAACATTTGCAATTTTCCTTATTTTTCAAATATTCTCGAAAATGCGTCTTTTAATGCAGGATCTGTTCGAGGGCATAAATCTCTCCGCAAATCACTCCATTCCTAGGATAGAATCCGCAGCTTGCTAGGGATATAACGTTCCTATAAATTATAGTCTCAATTTCCCTCTACTCCTCACCATTCTTTTCATTTTAGTAGGTATGGAGTTCAATCTTCGCTGTTCAGAATCTATGCCCGACTTCTCCAGAATCGGAATGATAAACGAAGATGTTCCAAATGAGCCAAGCAGGCAGCCTCCTCCACTTCACAGCTTCTTAAGATCTCAGATCCGAGCCCCATGTGCTTTGATCAGGGATCTCCCAATCAGAAACCAAGGAACAGCGACGGCGTTCATAGAGGCACTCGCGCTCCAACACCGGAAGCTTATGTTGGAAAAGAGGAGACTCCGGAAGAGGATTAACCGGATGCAACGCAGGCTTACTACGGTGTCAAGAGACCTTCACATCCTTGAATCTCACCCCGGAGAGTGGACTGAGCTTGGAATTTCTGACTTTGCTCGAATTCCGGACTGCATGATGCCAATCCTCGATCTTGCTGGTCAAGGAGTTGAAGTGTTCTGCTCGTCAACAAGATTTTCATAGTCCGAAGTGTACGATGAGGGACATTCCGTCTTTCGAATAAACGCTCTATTTCCAATCTCTTGTATGTTCGCATAGCCGAACCTTTATTTGCTTCACTTGTTTGCACAGTCGAACCTTTTTCCTTTAATAAAGAAATAAAACAAATTTTTATTAATAGCTGAACTCGTTTCCGAGCTGCCTACGTACCCATTTCGGGATCAAGCCACACCGTAGTTCATGTACATAAACAATGCACGTAGCTTTAAACATAAAACTTCTTTAGGTTGATCACATTCCAAGGTCGCTTGACTGGATTGTCTTCTAAGTCTTTCAACCTATAAACACCATTCCGAACCACTTCGGTAATAATGTAAGGTCCTTTCCAATTAATACCGAGTTTACCGGCACCTTCTTCCTTTTTGTTGTCAAAGACGCGCCTTAATACATAATTTCCCACGGAGAACGGCCTACTTTTAACCTTAGAATTGTAATACCGGGCTGCTACCTACTGGTAATTCTGGATCCGAATCAAAGCTTGATCACGCCTTTCATTTATGGTATCTAGTGAATCATTAAGCATTGCTGAATTTTCTTCCTCATTTAACGGTGCTTCTGTTCGGCGAAGTCCGGGCACATTGAGTTCAGCTGGTACTACCGCCTCCATGCCATAAACCAAAGAGAATGGAGTTTCTCCTGTAGGTCGCCTAGGGGTTGTGCGATAGGCCCACAGGACGGGTTGGAGTTCTTCATACCATCCTCCCTTTAGATGATTTAAGCGTTTCTTGAGATTGCTCAATATCGTCTTGTTCGCGGCTTCGGCTTGACCGTTTCCTTGCGGCTATCGTGGAGTAGAATAACTAACTTTGATTTCCCAGTCCGCACAAAAGGTATCAAACTCGTGTGAAATGAATTGTGGTCCATTATCAGTGACTATTTCGTACGGAACTCCATGTCGACATATAATGTTTTTCCAAATAAAGGTCTTCACCGCTGAATCCTTGATACCAACATACGCCTCAGCTTCAATCCATTTCGAAAAGTAGTCCGTAAGGACTAAAAGGTATTGTACACCTCGAGTTGACTTGTGCAATGGTCCAATGATGTCCATTGACCACCTCATAAACGGGTATGGAGCGGAAATGGAGGAGAATAATTCCGACGGTTGATGGATCAATGGTGCATGGAGTTGGCAGCGCTTGCATCTTTGGGCGAACTTAACACAATCTGTGATCATAGTGGGCCAATAATATCCCATTCTTTTAACTTTAAAAGCCATAGCCCTTCCTGATGAATGACTCCCACATAATCCTTCATGCACTTCGCTCATAACGATTTCGACTTCGGGCCCAAAAATGCATAATAGGTAAGGGTCACTGACACCTCGTCTATACAATGTGTCTTTTGACAGACAAAATTTCGCGCTAACGATTCTCATTTTTCTGGCCTGCCATTTATTCTTTGGGAGCTCGCCTGTCATAATGTAGTGCTTTATTGGCTCCCTCCAGTCAGCCCCCCAGTCTTTAGCCGGAATTTGGTCGACCTTGTGAAATACTCGTGGCTCCGGTTCGGGATGTTCGTTTGGTTCAAGAACATTCTCCTCGATTAACGTCTCGGTTTCTAATATCGTTTCTGGAATCACATCTTCTGCTAAGAGAACGGGTTCCTTGTCAGATGTGTTGGATCCCCTTGACTTCCTCCGTTTGTTGGGTGGAGGTTCGATCTCTGGTTCGCCACGGTCACGTGCCGCTGCTCGAGACCTTGTAACGACGAGGGTTTTCTTGTCGTCTTGAATGCTTCGCTCCGAAATGCATTCCACTGGAATAACTCTTTTCAACTCAGGATCTGATGTTGACGCCAATGCGGCAAGTGCGTCCGCAGTTGTATTCTCCCCCCGAGGTATGCGGATTAATTTGAATTTCGAGAAATTTTTAGATAGATCCTTCACCACTTCGAGGTACGCTTCCATTCTTGAGTCTTTGGCTTCATAGTCTCCATTAAACTGGTTAACTACTAACTGCGAATCGCAATAAGCCAATATTTCCTTAGCTCCAACTCCTTGTGCTAATCGAAGTCCGGCAATCAGGGCTTCGTATTCTGCCTCGTTGTTGGAGGCATTGAATAACAACCGGAATGATTGTTCTAGAATTTCTGATGTTGGAGACTCCAACTTGATTCCCACTCCAGATCCTTGCTTTGTTGAAGACCCGTCTACGTGTAATTTCCAAGTTTGGTTCTCCAGTTGCTCTATCGTTCCAGGTATTGGTAGCTCGGTTAAGAAATCTGCTAAAACCTGAGCTTTCATACTGATCCGGCTTTTGAATTCTATACCGTACTCGCTTAACTCCACCGCCCATTTCGCCAAACGTCCGGACTGACTTGGACTATGAAGTATTGTTCGGAGTGGTTGGTTGGTTAATACTTCAACCGGATGGGATTGAAAATATGGGCGCAGCTTTCGGGCCGAAGTCACCACCGCGAGTGCGAGTTTTTCCATCATTGTGTATCTGGTTTCCGGATCCGTCATTGACTTGCTTACGTAGTAAATTGGTTTCTATTCCCCGCGGTCCTCTCGAACCAAGACTCCACTAACCGCGTGGTTTGAAACCGACACGTACAAATAAAGTTTTCCATCCACTTCCGGTTTGGACAATATAGGTGGAGTGGTTAAGTATGCCTTAAGCTGCCCAAAAGCTTCTTCACACTTCTCATCCCAAAGGAATCCTTTGTTCCCTTTTAGAATTTGGTAGAAAGGCAACGACTTATCTGTTGATCTCGAGATAAAACGATTCAGAGCCGCAATCCGCCCAGTCAACCGTTGTACTTCTTTGAAGTTTCTTGGAGAGGGCATGTTTAGAAA